GCCCCCAATGACCGCCGCCGCCGTTACAAACATCGCCGTCCCCCGACGGGGCGGGGAGGTTTATTTTGGGGGGGGGTCTCACGGATCGCCCCCCCCTCCGCTCAGTTCGATGCCGACGGAGCGCAGCGCCTCCTGCGCCCACGAGGGGGGGTTCGTCCCGTAGCGGCGCCGCATGAAATCCCGCACGAAGGCGGGGAAGCGCCGCTCCACGATGCTGTCCCGCATCGCCCGCATCAACCGCAGCTGTGGGGCGAAGGGGGGGCAGGGGGTCACGACCCACAGAGCTGCGCCCCATAGATCTCAGCCCCACGGATCCCACCTGGTACGCGATGTTGTGCACCGTGATGTGGTGCAGCGCCGCGGGGTCGGAGCGCAGTAAGGCATGGAGGAACGCACGGCTGTGCCTGCGGGGAGATGGGGGTCAGCGCCCCATAGAGCCCTGTCCCACAGATCTGAGCCCCACAGACCTCAGCCCATGGATTCATGCCCCATAGAGCCCTGCCCCATAGGTCTGAGCCCACAGCTCCGTGCCCCCAGCGCACCGCTGACATGTGGGGCAGTCGCACTCCTCATCAATGGGGCGGAAATCCTTCGCAAACTGCCGGTTCTTCAGCTGCAGGGACCCCCAGGGGCCCAACGCGGATCCAAAGCGCTGTGGGGAGAAGGGATTGGGGGGTGGGAAGGGACTCCCCCCGGTCCGCCCCATAGATCTGCACCCCCCCCCCGATCCGCCCCACAGATCTGCGCCCCCTCCATTACCGCTGTCCGTGTGGGGAAGACGCAGTCAAACATATCGCAGCCGAGCGCCACGCAAACCACCAGGTCCGTGTCGTAGCTGTGGGGCAGAACCCAGAGATCTGGGCCCCACAGATCTGAGCCCCACAGATCTGCATCCCACCGCCCTGTGCCCCATAGATCTCTGCCCCATTGACTCACCAGAGATCGGGATTTGTCCCCTACAACCACACTGCCCCACAGCACCCCTCCTCCCCCCACAGCGCCCCATGGTGCTCCTCATCACCTTGCAGCATCCCACAGCGCCCCCAAGCACCTCCCACTGCCCTATAGCACCCCATGCTGCCCCACAGCACCCCACAGCACTCCGCATTGCCCCATAACACCCCACAGCACCCCTCACTGCCCCACAGCACCCCTCCTCACCCCACTCCCATCAGGTATCGCGGTTTCTGGGGCGGCAGCCGCTCGGTGCTCAACTTCACGGTCCGCCAAAAAAGCTCCTTGTCCTCCCCCCCACTGAGGCCCCCGATGGCAAAACCCGGAACGTCGCGCTGTGTCATCTCTGCAGGAAATGGGGCAGAAAGAGGAGTTGTGGGGCAGAGAGAGGAAGTGGGGATGTGGGGCAGCGCGGGGCACAGGCAGCAGCCATGGGGCAGATGTAGGGCAAATATAGGGCAGTTGTGGGGCAACGCGGGGCAGCTGTGGGGCAGCTGTGGGGCAGGCGGTACCTGCGAGGCAGTGGCGGCGCAGAGTGGGGCTGAGCCCCCCCTGGATGATGGCAAAGAGCTTCTGCTCCGTGGGGCGGCCGTGGGCTGCGATGCAGCGATCCAACCAGCGCACAGACCTGCGGCCGCATGGGGTGAGCTGTGGGGTGCCCCACTGCTATGGGGCACAACCACTACGGAGTGACCCACAGCCATAGGGTTGCACTGCTATGGGGCACAGGGCTACGGGGCGCCCCGCATCTATGGGGCACAGCTCTATGGGGCACCCCACAGCCACTGGGGGATCCCTAATTGGGGGAGGCCTTTCATTGGTGGGGGGTTCCTAAAGTGGAGGATCCCTGATAAGATGAATCCCCTAAGTGGGGGTCCCTAATTAGCAGGGGGTCCCTAATTAGCAGGGCGCCCACCTGAGCATGGCCTCCTCCACACGCGGCCCCGTCTCCGTGCTGCTCACCACGTCGTCCAGCTGCATCACAATGTCGGCTCCTGCGGGGATGTGGGGCGGCCCCATAACCCCCATTTCCCCTCATCCCCACAGCGCTATGGGGCGGCCCCACATCCCCCTCCCCCCAGCACTGTGGGGAGGCCCACGTCCTCTCCCAACGCTATGGGGTGGCCGTGGGGTGTCTATAGGGTGGCTGTGGGGTCTCTATAGGGCAGCCGTGGGGTCCATGTGGGGTCTCTGGGGGACCCCTGTGGGGCAGCCAGGGGGTTTTATGGGGTGTCTATGGGGCAGCATTGGAGTCCCTATGGGGCAGCCAAGGGGTCTATGTGGGGTCTCTATAGGGTCTCTATGGGGCAGCCAAGGGACAGCCCCGGTGTCCCTATGGGGTCTCTGTGGGGCAGCCATGGGGTCCCTATGGGGTCTCTATGGGGTCTCTATGGGGCAGCCATGGGCTCCCTGTGCCCCCCCTGCTCTCCCCCCACCTCACCCAGCGCATTCTGCAGCCCCATGGCTCGCTCGGGGCTCAACAGAATTTCGGGGCCGCGGGGGGGGGCGGAAGCGAACGCCCTCCTCCGACACCTGGCAGAGCGCAGACAGGGAAACCATCTGGAAACCGCCGCTGTCCTGGGGGTGATTAACGGCGTTAATTGGGGGTGATTAACGGCGTTAATTGGGGGTGATTAGCGGCGTTAATTGGGGGTGATTAACGGCGTTAATTGGGGGTGATTAACGGGGGTTAATTGGGGTCTCGGGGTCTCACCGTCAGCAGGTTGCGGGGCCACCCCATGAAGCCGTGCAGCCCCCCCGCCCGCTGCACCACCTCGGGGCCCTGCAGGGGGAGAGCGATTAATTGCCTTAATTGCGGTAATTAAAAGAAAGGAGGGGGGGGCCATTGAGGGGCGTGGCCTGGAGGTTGGGGGCGTGGTCTGCCCGAGTGGCCACGGGCTGAGCGCCAGCAGGTGGGCGGGGCGCTGCCCCCCCTCCCCCCCGCTCCTCTCCCCGCTCCGCCCCGCTCACCGGCGCCGCCCCGAGGTGATACGCGTTGCCCAGGCACAGCCCGCAGCCCAACGCCCGCAGCTGCTCCGCGGTGATTCCTTTGGCGGTGCCGCGCGTCCCCACGGGCATGAAGACGGGGCAGGGCACGGTTCCGTGCGGCAGCAGCAGCTCCCCCGCCCGCGCCATGCTCTGCCCGCACTCCGCCACCACCCGCAGCAGCGAAGCCTTCCCCGCGCCGGTTCCGCTGGGCGCCGCCATCTTGAGACCGCGTTAGACCGTGCTTCCGGCATCGCTTCCGGCCGCCCTTCTGGCGTGACTTCCGCTCACGTGAGCGGCGTTTCCTCCCACCGCACCGGAAGTTGCCTTAAACGCGGGCGGTAGGCGCCGGAAGTTGGCGTAAACCATAACAACGGTTGGGCCGCGACCTCGGATGGGGAGAGGCCCTTGTGCCCCCGGTGCCCCCAGAGGCCCCCCTGCCCCCCCCCCCCCCTTCCCGCTTTAGGACTCCCAGCGCTGACAGAATTCCTTTTCCTGTTCCGCAGGCCAATCAACTGCTGGGTCTCACGATTGACAATCTGCTTGACGTATCGTTACTCGCGATCCTCTCTCCCTCCGTCTGCATTGGGTAAACCGCAGAGTGGCGGGCACTTTGTCCAATGAGAAAGAGAGCGGGAGGAGAGAGGCGGGTGTAGCGCTCCGGCAGCGATTGGCTCGCTGTGTGGAGCGGCAGATGCGTCCACCAATGGGACGGCGGAACGGACATCTGAGGAGGGGATGGGCGCGGCAGCATCGCGCCTCAGCTGACAGAGGAGCGCCGCCTCCCATTGGCTATTAGTAGCGAGCGACGTAAGTATCAACCAATGATAAGGGAGGGGAGGGAAACGACGGCTCTGTCCCACCCTCCGGTATGAGTGACGGCGCGCTTCACCAATCCCCACGAGGGTCTTCGCCGAGCGATGTCCGAGCCGCCCAACGGCATCGCGATACGAGCGGGGCGGGGCGGGGCATCCCGAGCGGCGCCCCGGGGCCGGATGAGGTTCCGCGGAGGGGAAGTTTGGTCTCCGCCGCCGCCGCCGCCGCGGGCGCAGTGAGGCCCCCCGCCGCCATGGGGAACCGCGGCATGGAGGAGCTGATCCCGCTGGTGAACAAACTGCAGGACGCCTTCAGCTCCATCGGGCAGAGCTGCCACCTGGACCTGCCGCAGATCGCCGTGGTGGGCGGGCAGAGCGCGGGCAAGAGCTCCGTGCTGGAGAACTTCGTGGGGCGGTGGGTGCCGCGCCGCGGGGGGGCGGAGCTCCGCCGGGCTCCCAATGGCGCCGCGCTGGGGCGGGGGGCTTCACGGCGCCGCGCTTCTCCTCGGCGCTTCGCGGGGCCGCAACCGGCGCTTTGTGCTCGAGTTCGGCCGGGGATCTTCGCTCCGCTGCCTCCAGGCCGCCGCTTTTTCCTTTTGTTCGGGGCCGAGTGCCGCGTTTTCCCCGTGTTCCGGGGTTTCCTTGGGCTCTGAAGCGCCGCGCCGTCCCGCCTCCCTCAGTTTGGGGCTGTTGCTTCCACGGGTCCCAGAGCCGCCGCTTTTTCCTCCTGCTGTGGGATTAACGACCGCTTTTGGCTCATGTTTTGGGTTTAATTGCCACTATTTCCTCATGTTTTGGGTTTAATTGCCACTATTTCCTCATGTTTTGGGGTTCATGGCCACTTTTTGCCACGTTTTGGGGTTTTCTTTGGCCCCGCAGCTCCCAACCTTTACCTCAAAGTTTGCGTTTTTCCGTCTCCGAAGCGCTGAAGCCTCCCCTCCCCTTCCGTCCCGTTTCGGCTTTACTGCCCACCTCCTCGCGTTTGGGGGTTTTCCTTTTTGGCCCCGCAGCCCCAAATCCTCCCCTTTTCCCCCTGTTTTGAGGCGATCTCTGGCTGCAGGGCGCCCAAACTCCCCTTTTTCCTCCCGTTTTGGGGTTTGCTGCCGCTTTTCTTCCCATTTTATCGCTATTTTTTGCTCCCCGGCCCCCAAACCTCCCCGTTTTCTTCACGTTTTCCCTCTTTTTGTTTCCCAAGCCCCCAAAACTTCTCCATTTTCTCAACGTTTTGGACCACAGAGCGCCAAACCTCCTCATTTTATGGCATTTTGGGGCTCCCGAGCGTCCAACCTCCCCCCTTTTTCCATCCATGTGGGGCCTTTTTGGTCCTGCAGTGCCAATCCTGCTGCTCCAACCCCCCATTTGGGGCCATTTCTCCCCCATTTGGGGTCATTTCCCCCCCATTTGGGGTCTTTTCCCCCCATTTGGGGCATTTTGTCGCCCCCAAACCCCTCATGCCCACATTTTAGGGTTATGTGGGGCCGTTTTGACCTCACAGCCGTTGGATTTTGGTCTCTGCCCCCCCGTTTCTGCCCCAAAAAGGGGCATTTCTTGCCCGGTGCCCATCGCTGCTCCCTGTCCCAGCGCAGTAGGGATGGTTGGGTGCCTAACGACGATCCCTGGTTAATTAGCAGCTAATTACACGCAGGATGTCCTTCCCGTGGTCACATGCAGGGTGACATCATCTGCCCTACAATGGCGCACACACCCATGGAAGTGTTGGGCGCAGATAACGAGGAGCGTAGATTGCAGCTGTGATAATTAATTAATCGCTGGGGGGGGGGGGGTGGCC